ACCGTCGGCCACTGGGGGGACAAGCGGGGACAGCAGCTCACTGAGCAGGCTCGGCAACGCCCCGATGCCCTCAAGGCAGATGCTTCCAGCAACCAGACGTTCGCGCCGCGCGGCTTGCACGTGGCCAGAAGTACGCGGGCGACCGGCCGATCTGCAGCCGCAGTTCAGTAATCTGGCGGCCCCCTCGGAGCCCGAGCGACGACCGCCACTTACATGGACGGCATCAAGCTCGACGCCCGCAGTCTCGTCGGCGAGCAGTGGAAGGATGATCGCATCGTCCAGTCCGTCTTGGGCGGCGAAACGCTGCTGGCAGCTGGCGCGGGGCAGGATCAAGACGGGACGTTCGGCGACCGCGTCATCGATATCCCCGAGAACGCCGCCAGCGCCACCGACGGCGGTTCACCATCAGCCCTGTCGGTGACACCCGAAGAGGCCGACAGCGACTTCTCCGGCCACATCCAGCAGGTGATTTTGGCAGCTTGGCAGGAGGTCGAAGGCGCTGAGGATCTGATGCAGGGGCCACAGGAGCTGGAAGGGTCTGACAGCCAGCAGATGGCACGCGCTGTCGTCGAGCACGCTGCCGCCAGCATGGGCTGCACACCACGCGAGCGGCCCCAGCACCTTCAGACTCAGCGCCAGCACCAGCAGATTCACGCGCAGCGCCATCATTAACCTGCGCGGCGCCACTCTGGACGACTACGCCAAGTTTGAGGAGGAGGGCGAACGAGGAGGACAACGCGCGGAGCTTCGCCTGCACAGGAGTGCGCGAGGCATTTCTGCGCTGCAACGAGGGCAACTGCGCTGCTGGCGGCCACGCCACAGCCGCGCTCACGGCACGCCACGCCGCCGCCGAGACCGCGGCGATCATGCGCGACGCCGATCTCCTGACCGAGGAGGATGCGCAGAGGCTGACCGACGAAGCGGCCCCCGCCACCCCCGCGGAGCTAGATCTGCGAAGCACAATTGTTTCGAGCGTCGCCTTCTCAACTGCGCTCGGAAGGTCACGGGCCCCAGACGCGCGCCAGGCGGCGGCGCCAGATGGCGTCGGGCGGCAAGACCGGCAGGATCATCTGGCGCCGAATGGCGTTGAGGGGCTTCCGCGACACGGGCGCCGCCAATCGCCAGAGCGGCGAAGCGGGCGTCTCAGCGCAATCCGCGCTCAGAGGCGGCCCGTCGCCCGGGCCGGGCGCGCGTCGCCGCGGGCGCGGGGCGGGCGCTCCTGCGGGGCATGACCTGCGCCGAGATGCCAGAGCAGGGCGAGGCACTCAGGGGGGTCAACTTCGCCCTGCCCCTGGCAGAGCGGCCGCCCCCATGGGGTTGACCGCTCTGCCTGCACACAGGCCATGGGCCGCAAGTCCATCGACGAGCGGGCCGAGCGCCCGCGCCGCGCCGAGCCGGGCACGGGCTGCAAGGGTGCGCCCAGAGCTTTCTCCACGAAGCTCGCCCGAGCCACGCGCGCAGAGGAGCGCGGCGCCAAGCCGACGCGGCGGGGCCCAGAGCTCGAGGTCGAGCACGAGGCGCCCGGCACCTGCGACGCCGGTGCCCCAGGGATCGCGCCCGCGCCGTCAAGGCACGTCGACGACCTCAAGACAGCAGGACACAAGGATCACGTCGACCGCCTCATCCGCCACATCGAGGGCGCATTCGGCAAAATGAAGGGGGGCTGCGACGACGTCGCCAACAGCGGCGCCCACCAACACCGCAGTGCCGACGGCGGCGCGACGCTCTCCCAGGAAGAGTACATCGACGCGCTGATCCTAATCAGGCACGTCGGCCGGGCCAAGTCGGAGACCGACGAGCTGAGCTGGTCGAGGGTCCACTCCCAGACCTGTCTGCATCCCTCCTCGGGGCCGCTGCCCACGCGTTGCTCGCGCGAGCAACGCCGCGTTGCCGCCGACGTCTTCGCGCTGCAGAGGGCCCGAAAAAGGTGCTCATCAGGCGCGGCATGCAGCTCGACGCCGGCGCCCTGGCCGCGCACAGGACGAGGGCGCGCATCGCCTACCCGGCGATAGAGCGCGTCAGCAAGATCTGCGCGCGCCGCGACGCCTCCTTCATGCGCGAGGAGGAGACAGCATGCGGCATGAGAGGCGCTGTATACATGCGCCTGGGCAAGTGTCGCAGCACTGGGAAACAGATCTGCCACCTGCTCGACGCTGCGAGCCGATCGCGCAAACTCGCGTCTCGATGGTCATTCGGCCCCGAGCTGCTCGCGGCATGTGGAGCAGCAGACGGGCAACGAGCGCGCCTCGGACTCCGCGAGAGATGGCGCGAGGACCCGCCTCGGCAGACGAGTGGGGTTACGCCGTGCTGGCCAGGCTGGCCTTCGGCGGCGCGCCCGCGATCTCGGCGCTCGCCGTGGACCGCGCGGGCCCGCGGTCCGAGGACAGCACGGCAGGCCGCCCGCGGCGGCTAGCGGACCAGCTTCGCACCGAAACAGCTGCCCAACACGCCGCGGCGCGACGCCCGGGAGAGGCGAGCAGATCCCATGACGCAGGGGAGCATCGGCAGAGAGCTCATCCTTGACGCCATGACTGCCAAGCTCGCGCACGCCCATCCAACGGCGAAGTAGAAAGAGAAACGCAATATGAACGCCGCCCCAAGTTCCAGCTACAGCGGCCTCTCCAAGGACAAGGACGACTGGTAACCGGAGCGCAGTCGCATGTCCGAACTGCGCTCGAGATTGCTGAGCTGCACAGCAAGGAGACAAGACAGGGACATTCGCGCGAGGCGAACTATTTGCGCAAAACGAAATAGTAAGCCACTCCGCACAAGGCGAACTGCGTTCGCAAAATGCGCAAGGCCGTTTGCTGTGTCAACCGTCTGCTGCTATTGTTGTTGGGGCTGGCTGACTAGATGTGGTTGGTCCTGTGGTCAATGATGGGAGTGCCGCCGCCCCTGCCACAGGCGCCGTAAAAGGTTTTCTACGGTTGGCGCCGCGAGGAGCCAAAGCGCCTCAACTATGGGACCGACCGAAGACGGCGGGGGCTCCCCCGTCTTGTGGGCAATTTATTGTGGGAATTCGGTCAGTAGAAGGTTCTCGAATTTTCTCACCACTTAGTTTGTCTGGGGTGTTCTGTGGGCAGTTTGGCCAACGAGGCACAACGGACCCGCTTGAGCACCAGACTCGAACGGTAGGTCGCAGGGCACTAAGCACGCTTGTGGCATATAGTCAGGAGCAGGGCTGGGCCATGGGCGCTTGGCTCAAGCCTGGCCAGGCGCCACGCCCGCTCCGCAACTACCTTACGCGCGCCGCTCTTGCACACCGCTACACAGAAGACATCCGTTTTCATCCGGCGCGTTACACTCTAGTGTTCTAGCGCCATCACCATTGAGGATGATGGGCGACACCCGCGGCGGCAACGCCACGGCGGCAGCGTGGCCACCAGGCCCTTCCAGAGCCCCCTTCAAGAGGCGACGCGGCGAGAGTGGCGCCCTTTCAGGATCAGCTTTTTCGGCAGCGGGCCGCGGCGCGCAACGCGTCAGCAGAGCCGAGTGATCATCTGGCGGTTCACATGTCGCCGACGCGGAGGGCGCCAGGGCAGCGGTTGAAACTACATGGCTTCGAAGATTGTCGCGTGCCAACGCCGACAGGCTGGAAAATGCAAGGGCTGCTAGACGGCTGCAGTTGCGATGGCCGTTACGGCTCAGCATATGCACGGCAATGATTGCGGTCTAGTTATTGTTGCGCACGCAGCGGCCGGGACAACTCCAGACGTGGGGCTGGGAAAATTACAAAAATCCGACCAGCAAGACCTCGGCGCTTCTCCACGCTTCAATGCGCGCAAAACACGGCGGCGGACAAGTCTGCACCCATCGACGGCGGCCATTGGCCACACTACTTTCATTTACACGCGCGCTGCCCCGAGGCGTTGGTTTGTTTAGGTCGGACGCGGGTTTACGTCGAGACCAAAGGCCCGAATCCAACGTGCACACTCGGGACAACCTCCAGCGCCCAGTGGTAGCCTGACTTCAAACAATCAGTTCTTATCGAAATGGACTGGGCAAATTGCGAGCAGGCTGTGACTGGTTGGGCACCCAAACTCGCCGCAATCGTTGCCCCATCCAACACGAGTCGACCAAGTCACATTGTGGAGTGTGGGACCCAAGCGCCGGTTGCTAGAGTTCGTCGTGGACTTCAGACTGCGGTCAGCGCTGCCGACCTCAAGGCGACGTGCACGAAGCCGTTCCACGAGCCCGCGTTCGACCGCATGGCCACAAAATTGTCACACTTCTTCACTTCTTCGATTATAAATACGAACACAAGCTTGGACTTGTGGCAACGCATGACTGGCGACCGCAAGGGTGCAACAACAACGGCCGACCTCCTCTGGAGCATCGCCCTCGACAGCACATGCCATGTGCATCATCAGTTCGCACCGTCCATGTCAGATTTGCTGAGCCAAGTATCCCCACTGCAAAGTTGTTTCGACCAGATGGAAGCAATGGAACAATTGCTTATGCCAGGTTCTCTGTGGACCTCGCGAATGCAAGCCTTTCGATGCCTGTTCGCGTATATGGTATGGAGTCTCTTGTGGCCCTTTCCGCATCGCACTTGCGACAGCAGGGCTTGCGCTACTCTTTCGATTTTACCTGACGGCGCGCGGCTGACAGCGTCGCTCGCGAGCAAAAAGTATATGGTATGGAGGTGCAGGATAGCGCCTTCGCGCTAGAAGCGACCGACGCTGACAGGACGGTATTGGTGCATAAAGTTCACCAAGGTTTAAATGGTCAGCAGTGCCTTGGCCGTCAAAACTCGATCAGGGGAGCATGAGAAGGCAGACCAATGTAAGTGGAATGTCTGTGAATTGAAACGCCTTTCCGTGGCAAGCACCCGCTTGCCAGCAATACTCGCTGAATAAGCCAACTTAGATCCACCCTCCGTCATCCCGTCCTCCTCCCTCCTTCCCCCTCCCTTGCTCCCTTCTGCATTCCTCCCCGCACGAGCGTCGCGACCAGAAGTTAGCTGGTCGTGGCCATCTCCTCCCTTTGGCTGTCGAGAGGTGCGACACCGTCAAGAATTGCGTCGGCTTCACCACCAGGCTCCCCAGGTCTGGCAAAATGCAGTGCACCACCTACAAGGCTCCAAGGGGGGGGGCACGCACCGTAGGTCGACCCGTCATGTCCGACGGGCACCCCTCGCCGCCCTCCCCGATCCGGGATCCTCCTTTTCCCCAAGCCCCCCAAGCTGCCCCCTCGTCTATGGAACAGATTGCGTGTTTGCATCACGGTCAAAAGGCCGCGGGGGGCCCAAATCGTTGTCTATTGCATATGGTTCCTTTGTTGCACACTGCTCCCTCCCACGGTGTAGCTTTTGCGTTCTCTCGGGCGCTTGCACCTTCCCACCTCATCCCCCTAGAGCAGCCCCGTCTTGTTCCTGCCCCCCCCCCGCCCCCTCTCTCAAGGTAGGTCCGCTGGGAACCATCCCTCACGCCCGCCCTGGGCCGTAGACGGGAAGTCTTCCTCCATCTCCTCCTCCTCTTTCTCCTCCTCCTCCTCCTCCATCTCCTCCCCATCCACCTCCTCCTCCTCCCTCTTATCCTGCTGTTCCCTCCGCCCCCTGACGGCAGAGTCGCACCGCCTCCACGCAGCGGTGACGTTTTGCCTAGCCGTTCGATTTTAAGCACCCTCCCGAGGCTGGGGCCCCGGGGTCCACAGAAACAAGCACGTGGCGACATCCATACTGGAGGAGAGGTCGAGAAATTATGCGACATCCGAACGCAGAGAGCGTTCAGCATCGAAGGGTTTGTGCAGTGTCATGTTTGCCCTCTTTCCGAGGGTGGGCTAATCTGGCATGCGGAGGCGCATCCTTCCCCAGCTGTCCCCGAGAGGGCCTGGTGAAGACGGACGTCAGCAAGGCCAAGTCCTACACGAAGTGCGTGAGAGGGTTCAGCTGCCCCGAGCACGACGGCCTCAAGGGCTTCCGCTTCTCTCACGAGGGCACCTGGAAGAACGGCCAGAAGGCCCAGATTTGATCCCATTGCGGACGTCAAACAACCCACCCAGCCGTCTTGTGGTCTTTCGGAGGCCGTCTTGACACGAGGAAGCCATGTCTGACTGAGAAGAGTGGCAATGGACAACACCAGGCAATGATATGCGCTTATGGTAAATTGCTCCAAGCGTTTTCCACCCAGAACAGTCGGGGGCCTTTGGTGGGGTCATCCTTGGGCTCACCTTGAGGCTGCTGGGGGGTTGGGGCCGTCGTTGGGTGGTCCTGGGTCATCGTAGGCCATCTTGCAGCCGTACTGGGCTTATCTTGGGGCCGTCTTGGGATGTGCAAAGAGAGCCAGGAAGGAACATATAGGGGACGAGCTCTCAGACGGGTACGCGGAGAGGGATGGATCGCTTTGAGAAAATGATAGACATTTTGCCAAAGGCATTATGCCATGCTTTAGCTTGCCATCGACACGGTGGCGGATCATACAAATGCGAAGTTGAAGACAGCACACATGTTAGTACGAACGCTCAATGTTACCCGCCAGTGAAAGTCCCAGCTGCGACGCATACGGAACACATCGTCAGTACATTCAAGCACACGTTCCTAAGTATCCGTAAAGGCTTCGCCCCCAGCCGCCAGCCCCCTCTCTATCATAATGTGATGGATCAGAGTCGCGTCGGTGCGTCACGGCGCTGCCTTGGCTCATCTGGGGACATCATGCGGGGGCTGGTAGGAATCATCAGCGCAGATTGAGACGTTGGCGTTATCCGAGTGGCCGTCTTCCCATCCCGCCACCGTGCTTGGGTTATGGGTTTGAGGCCTCTTGTACATGTGTTGGGATGTCGTGGGGAGCCTCTCGGGGGCCTCTTGGAGGCGGTTTTGGGCGCCTCTTGGGGTCTCGTGGCGTCTCTCTTGGGCCTCTTGGAAGCCTCTTGGGCGCCTCTTGGAGCCTCTTAGGGCCTCTGGGCGGGGCCTCCTGGGGGCTTCTCGGACACACAAATATTGAATGTTCGGTTCGTGGTACCCTGCTTGGGCCCCTCTTGGAGCCGTCTTGGGGCCCTCTCGGGCCGTCTTGAACGCGTCTTGGGCCATCTTGGAGCCCTCTTGGGCCATTTTGGGGCCCTCTTGGAGGCGTCTTGGGCTGTCTTGGGGCAGTCTCTTATTGAGCCGTCTTGGGGCGTCGGAAAGCCGAAAATGCAAGAAGGCCAGAATCCTTCAAAAACCTGTGTGAATTTTACGATTTGGGCATCGTAAGGCTCTCTCGGGAAGCCTCTTGGAGCGCTCTTGGGCCCTGGTTGGGCCATCTTGGGCCGTCTTGGAACCATTTTCGGGCGCCTTGGAACACACCCTTGGCCTCGGCAGTGTGAATTCGGCGTAATTTGCTAAGGTTTATGGCTTCCAGGATGCGAACATTACCTAATTTACTAAGGTTTGTTGCCGCGGGAACGCAACACTTGCGTCATTTGCAATGGCTTGTGGCCTCGGGGGCGCGAGCATCGTCTAATTTACCAGAGATGATGGCCTCGGGGGAACGAATGCCATGTATTTTTACGTCTCTTTGGGGCCTCCTGGGCGCATCTTGGGGCCTCCCGGGGTTTTCTTGGGGCGGTTGTCTCGAAATCGCATTTCGTGGTCCCCCCCCCAAACTATTGGGTTTTGCTCGTTTCCTGAGCAAGATTGGAGGCCTCTTGGCCGGTCTTGGGGGCTTCTTTGGCTGTGTCGACGCCACTTGGGTGCCCATTTAAGCCGTCTTGGGGCGATAGTCGTTGTGAGTTGGGCCGTTTTGGAGCGTCGGGAGGCCGAGAAGGGAGAAACGCGAAAATAGTTCAAAGTCAAAAGACGTAATGGATTTTGTCTCTCGGGGCCTTGGAGTCGTCTTGGAGGCTTATTGAGGCGTTTTGCCTGCCAGCCTCTTGGCCCGTTTTAGGACCATCTTGACAGTGATGCGCCGTTGTCAAATGCGCATTGGAGGGGGGCAATGACTGGAACAAAACTAGGAAACCGCAGGACGTGTTCGAATCCAGAGGAATCTGGAGGAGGTCTAGGGAAATCTGGAGAAGTCCTAAGGAAACTGGAGGATTCCGGGGGAACGCGGGAAATCTGCAGTTTTCCTATGGAAGCTTGAGGAACTTAGAATTTCGAATCATTTGTAAATTGGGGGAACCTCCGTAAACTGCGTAAATGTGGAGTCCGAGAAGAAGCGAAATGACGTCAGAGGAGTTTTGAATCGTGATGAACCCAAAGAAATGAACATGAGCCCAGTGGAGCGCGCAGAAACCTTGAGGAGTCGAAAGGACTCCAGCAGAAGCCTGAGGACTTAAAAGGAATCCCATGCAATTGATGAGAATGTGTAGGCACCCGAAGCAAACAATTGAAGTTGGTAGAATCCAACAGGGGGCGGCCCGGATGGACATTTGACGGTGGGGCCCCACTTTCAACACCGTATTCGGGGGGGGGCTAGAAACGAAAATTACCTCCAACCCCCGCGCAATGCGGGGCAGGAGTAGTATGGGAGATTTGACAAGAAGGCGGCAACGTGACATTGACGCATATACTTCTGCGAGAGGCATTCGGAAGGCTCGCACGTCCCCAATCAAGGGAACAATGATGAGTATCTAAGTGGACCCCTGAGTCACTGAGGAAGACGCAAGGTCCAAAAGGAGACTGTGGGCAAGGGGCTTGAAGCGTCGGCGGGGCAGCAACAACATGGCATGACCCCCCAGAGACGGCGAGGTCCCGCTCAGGTCCGCGCAGTGCCTCACCCCGCTGGACCCACAAGCAGCCTTCGAAAGTGGCGAGCCCACCAGCAGCCCTCGAAAGCGGCAACAGTTTCGCAGATCAAAGCCCCCCAGGGACGGCGAGGTCTCGCTCAGGTCTGCGCGGTGCCTCACTCCGCTGGACCCACCAGCAGCCCTCGAAAGTGGCGACAGTCTCGCAGATCGCAGCCCCCCAAGGACGGCGAGGTCTCGCTCAGGTCTGCGCGGTGCTTCATTCCGCTGGACCCACCAGCAGACCTCGAAAGTGGTGACAGTCTCGCAGATCGCAGCCCCCCAGGGACGGCGAGGTCTCGCTCAGGTCTGCGCGGTGCCTCACTCCGCTGGACCCACCAGCAGCCCTCGAAAGTGGCATCAGTTTCGCAGATCACAGCCCCCCAGGGACGGCGAGGTCTCGCTCAGGCCTGCGCGGTGCCTCACTCCGCTGGACCCACCAGCAGCCCTCGAAAGTGGCGACAGTTTCGCAGATCGCAGCCCCCCAGGGACGGCGAGGTCTCGCTCAGGTCTGCGTGGTGCCTCACTCCGCTGGACCCACCAGCAGCCTTCGAAAGCGGCAACAGTTTCGCAGATCAAAGCCCCCCAGGGACGGCGAGGTCTCGCTCAGGTCTGCGCGGTGCCTCACTCCGCTGGACCCACCAGCAGCCCTCGAAAGTGGCGACAGTCTCGCAGATCGCAGCCCCCCAAGGACGGCGAGGTCTCGCTCAGGTCTGCGCGGTGCTTCATTCCGCTGGACCCACCAGCAGACCTCGAAAGTGGTGACAGTCTCGCAGATCGCAGCCCCCCAGGGACGGCGAGGTCTCGCTCAGGTCTGCGCGGTGCCTCACTCCGCTGGACCCACCAGCAGCCCTCGAAAGTGGCATCAGTTTCGCAGATCACAGCCCCCCAGGGACGGCGAGGTCTCGCTCAGGCCTGCGCGGTGCCTCACTCCGCTGGACCCACCAGCAGCCCTCGAAAGTGGCGACAGTTTCGCAGATCGCAGCCCCCCAGGGACGGCGAGGTCTCGCTCAGGTCTGCGTGGTGCCTCACTCCGCTGGACCCACCAGCAGCCTTCGAAAGTGGTGACAGTCTCGCAGATCGCAGCCCCCCAGGGACGGCGAGGTCTCGCTCAGGTCCGCGCGGTGCCTCACTCCGCTGGACCCACCAGCAGCCCTCGAACGTGGCGATGGTTTCGCAGGTCACAGCCCCCCAGGAACGGCGAGGTCTCGCTCAGGTTTGCGCGGTGCCTCACTCCGCTGGACCCACCAGCAGCCCTCGCAAGTGGCGACAGTCTCGCAGATCGCAGCCCCCCAGGGACGGCGAGGTCTCGCTCAGGCCTGCGCGGTGCCTCACTCCGCTGGACCCACCAGCAGCCCTCGAAAGTGGCATCAGTTTCGCAGATCGCAGCCCTCCAGGGACGGCGAGGTCTCGCGGGAGACAGGAGGCGGGAGGAGGGAGGAGGAGGAGGAGGAGGAGGAGGAGGACGCGACCGCAGTGCTCTATTCAAAACGAATACCAACCAAGGAAGGTTGGGAAACATGAAGAACCCGTAAAACGTGTGCGAATCCAGAGTCATCTGGAGGAATTTGGAAGAGTTCTGGTGAATCTGGAGAAGTCCTTGAGAATCCGCGGGAATGTTGAGGATTCCCCGAGAATCTGGGAACCTTGGAGCAGTCCAGTGGAATCTTGAGGAACCTGGAGGAACCCTCGCATGATTCTTGTCGAAAAACTTTGATGAGTTCTGAAGGCTTTGGATAAATCGTAAGGGGTCTCATGGAATCTGGAGGATTCCAAAAGAATCTGGACAATCCTGAGCATTCTTGAAGAATCTTAAGGCATCCAAAGGAATCCGATCGAATTGTTTGGGAACTGGAGGAAACCTGAAGAATCTGCAGGGATCTGACGGATTTTGAGTAACCACGGGGGAATCGAAATCAATGTCGAGGAAGCTGCCAGAATCCGGAGGAATCAAGATAATTCAAACACAGTCTTGAAATATCAGCCTGGATTTCGAGGAACCCAGAGGAACACAGCATAACCCTTGGGAAACTAAAGGAACCTCATCTCACTTGGGAGAATTCGAAGGCAATTTGAAGGCACCCAAAGGAATCCAAAGGAAGTTTGGAGAATCCAAGGGGAGGGATGGACATCTGACGGTGTAGCCCCGCTGTCAAATGCTCATTGGGAGGGCGAACATTTGAAGGTATTTAGAGGAGCCCAACGGAAGTTGGGAGAGTCCAAAGGGTGGGGCGGTGGCGAATTACAGTGGAGGCCCATGCCAAGAAACACCCTGCTTGCCTTTAGGGTGCCCTGGGCTTCTTGGGTTTCGATGGTTTTGCGATGGAATTCGTGACGTTCTCACACCAAAAATCAAAGGACGTCTGGGGTCTCAGGGTTGGGTTTCTTGTGGAAGGTTTCTTGTGGACGGGCCCCTACTGTACCATTTGAAAGTGGGGCCCAATATCACATTCGTATTCGGGTGGGTCCTAGGAATGAAAAGTGAAGAACCCGTAGGACGTTCTGGGGAATATGGAGAAGTCCTTGAGAATCCGCGGGGATTTGGAGGGTTCCCAGGACATCTCGAAACTCTGGAGCATTCCAATGGAATCTGAGGTGTCCAAAGAAACCCTCGGATGTTCTGGAAATTGGAGGAAACCTCGGGGCCCTGCATGAATCGGAAGGAGACCAGAGGAATCATGGGAGAATCACAAGGACGTTGGAGGAATCTGGAATCTTTAGGAACCCACAAAAATGAAAATGAATCTGATGAAATGTGCAGGAACCCAAATAAACCCAGAAGAATCCACAAGAATGTAAGGGAACCTCGTTGAAGCTGGAAAAGTTTGAAGCATCCACAGGGATCCAAACGAAGTCGGGGGAATCCAGCGGAAGGGGGGCCCGAATGGCCATTTGACAGTGGGGCCCCACTGTCAAATGCGCAGTCGGGGGCCTGGGCGGGGGGGGAACGACTGGCGATTTTACAATGTGGCTCCATTTTCACATGGGCATTCGGGGGGTTGAGAGGGGCGGAAAGGGGATAAATGAGCCCCGAACGCCCGATTGACAGCGGGGGCGCCAATGTCAGGGGGACATCGGGAAACCGGGCTTCCCATTTGACAGTGGAATATCCCTTACCCCCCCAGAGTTAAATGGACAATCGGGGGTGGTTTCGTCGATTGTCCCTTTGACAGTGGGCCACCCACTGTCAAATGATGCAACACCGCTCAAGCGACCGCAAGTTTTCAGTATTGGGTCCCGGGGGGGGGGGAAAGGCGGGGAACGGGGAACATCTCACACGCCTAGAGACCCACAAGGGGTCGGTGGATAGCACGCTGGCATCACATTGTAGAATCCATTCGATCACATTCGAAGGGGCAGAGGCATCATCCAGACAGGTATCGCATGGAGCTCCCGTTGATGCTCGAGTGCCACTGCGATGGACATATGTATGTCATATCCACAAGGTATATCCCGCCACCGTGCCCGGGCTGTGGGTCAGAGGCCTCTTAGATGCTTGTGGGGATCCCTTCGAGGCTTTTCGGAGGGCCTCATGGGGCTTCTTGGGGACATCTTAGGCTTTTGTAGCCGTTTTCGGCGGCCTCCTGTGCCGTCTGGGGGCCCTCTTGGGGGCCTCTTGGAGCGATCTTGGGGGCCTCTTGGGTTACCTCGGGCGGTCGGAAGCCCGAAAACGCGAGAATGTTAAAATCGTTCAAACACATGTAGAATCAATGATTTGACCTCTCGGGGTCTCTTGAGGTCATCTTTTGAGTCTGGGTGCGGCGTAGGGACGACTCGGGCCCCCTTGGGCCGTCGTGGGGGACTCTGGAGGCCCTCTTGGTCCGTTATGGGGCCCTCTTGCCTCTGGGAAGGTCAGCGGGGCACTCGCCCCACCACGCCCAAAGCCCCGAGAACGCCGGGTGTTCGGGGCCCTGGGCCCCTCACAGGGTTGTCATTATCTTATACAGATCAGGAGGGAAAGAAACACACAGACACGATTAAGCGTCGATTCCGAGGAAACTATAGGAAAACATGGGAAGTGGGGGGGAAGGCGAAAACCCAGAACATGCGAAAATATTGGGAATCCTAAGATTTGTGTGTATTTATGTGTGGTTCCCTGGCCCCCTTTATGCAGAGGACTTCAAGAGAGGCTTCGGGACAATCCACTCGGTGCCTCGCGGAGCGGTCTTGGATTTTTCGGCATCTCGAGCAGTGGCGAGGCGTCTCGGCTGGCGTACCGGCGGCCCGCCAGAGCATGCTCTGAGAACCGGTTGTTAAGTCGGGCGCGTCCCTCCACAGGAGGAAGATTCAGAAATAGGCAAAAATAGTCTGGGGGCGATTTTATGTTGGGGCAGTTTTTATATGTTTTATTATTCGTCCAGAATCCGCCTGTAGGAGGACATGCCCGACCTAAACCTGTTGTCGTCTGCACGAAATGTTCTAAGAACATTTCTGGCCGAGACTATCTTGTTTTAACACATCGGGCCCATGTTCTAAGAACATGGTTTGGGCTATCAGAAAATTGCTGGGTTCTAAGAGCATCTCGTGGTAGGCCTATAGGAATGCCGGGATGGTCGGTCCTTGCTCAAGTATCACAATTGGTTAGCAAGTTGCGTTGCATGTGGGCAGAGGTACCGCACGCAGGATTGCGAACGCGTGGAAGCACATGGGCACAGACCTGTACGTGTACAGACCCATATTCAAACGCGCGTGGCGAGATCTGAGTATGTACACGCATAAGGGTTCAGACAGAACGGAACATCGAGATTTGGGACTCCGTTCCGCTCGGGTGCATCGGTGGGTGGAGGTCATGTGATGTGGGTGTTACGGGAGGAACATATTTTCAGAGGTCTTCGGACCTTGACACGTGGGCCCGCAACCCCCGTGTCAACACACCACATTCGGGGGTTGAGATTGCCGCGCGGTCCTCGAAAACGAAAGCCCCAGGTCCAGAACTCGAAGAGCGACTTGGCCTGCGCCGCATCTTGCCGCGGCGACAGCTCCTGCGTCGGCTTCACGTTTCGCCACGACAAGCGCGCTGTGAACGAGTGCCTCCACTTCCTGAACGCAGCGAACAAAGAGGGGCCTCGGCGCGACATGCGTGCCACCACGTACTCCAAGTGTGCTCTCGTTGAGAACCAGGCTGCAGCAGTGGCCCCTGCGATGAAGCCAGTACTGCCGCTCACCAAGATGAGGATAAACAAGTCGGCCGGCATATTGTGCAGCGGCGGTTATATCATCTCGTCCAAGGATTGGTGGTGGACAGAGTATGACCAGATGTCCCACGTGGCGGATGCGCAGGCATGCATGGAGAAGTGCGAGTCGTTTGAGAAGTGTGTCTCTTTTGTATACCGCCCCATGGAGAGTAATGCGGAATGCTACTTGTACAAAGGCTTGAGTGCAAGAGTCGACACTGGATCAGTCGCCTACACCAGATGTTCGCGCGACAAACGCTGTCCCGCAAGCAGCAGTGCACCCGACGGGTGGGAATTTAGCCATTCTGGTACATGGGAGGGGGGTGTCCAGATGCCCGACGTCACGATCAAGAGTTGCAGCTTGATCTGCAAGGCCGATCCAGGCTGCGCTGCAATGAGCTGGAAGCGCGACGGAGAGGTTTGCTCGACATTCCAGTCCAAAACTGAAGCCTCGGCGAACCCCATGCCGATTGCCGGCGCAGAGGGGTATTCCAAGTGCGTGGTTGCGGACGACGAGCCAGGATCGACATCCGTGCACCGTGAGTGGATCTAGTCCGAGGCCTCGCCGCACTTTCTCTTCCGTGCGACGACCCAGTCGGAGGCCTCACCGCACCAGGCCGCATTCTGGCGGCGAGGAAAGGAGGGGCGTAGCGCGAGGTTGGCGGCCTTTGAGAAGGCAGGGGGCTTCTCGGGACTGACCAGGCCAATGAGAGCCAAATGTTCCACATCTTCTGTCGATCGAAATTGGCTCGCCATGGGGGAAACGGGTCTTGAGGTTGTTCGCCGTTTTCGGGCTCTCGGGGCTCTCCATGGGGCCCCGGGAGAGTCGGAAAACGACTCAGGATGAAGATCTCGCCGTTGGGGGAAGGTCACAGGGTCCAGGACCCGTTCCCCTCGGGACCCGCTTTCCCCATGCTGGGAAACCGGTGCGGAAAGGATGGGAAGAAAGACCGATTGAAGTTTTCAGTCGGGCCTGTCCCTCTACAGGGGCCAAATTCAAAAATATCGAAAAATAGTTTGGGGACGTTTTGTTATAATGTGTTGACCATTTCGGATTAGTTTTGAGTATTTTTGATATTTCGTTCACAATCCTCCTGTAGGGGGACATGCCCGACCTAATTTATTCCCTTTTGGTTCTGAGCAGGAGTCGCTATCGGTGTCGCCGCGGACGTTGTCCGTGCGGGGCCAAACGTCGCCTGCTCCACAGCACGCCAGTGTCGGTTTCAGGCAGCAATTGGTTGGTGACATCGTCCCCACGTTTCCATCCTGATCTCGGCCGTGCCACTTCTGAAAGATGGGGGGGGCCTTCAAAGAAGGATGCCCCCCAGATTCCGTCCCCTTCTTTGCGCGCCGCCAAACACTCAACGCATAGGAGCGGTGTTTTTTTTCCGGAGCTGACGTAGGGTTGAACGTCTGATCCGAGTTGCAGCCGTTCACCGTGATTCCAGCGACCCCCTAGAACTCCTCAGAACATGTCCCCCTCCTCCCTCTCCATGTCTCATCCCTTCCTCCTCTCCTCTCTTTTCTCCTCTTACACTGTTAATGATCCATCCTCTCCCCTCATCCCTACTCCTCGCCCTCCTCCCTCATCGTTCTCCTCCTCATCCCTCCTCGTCCTTGTCCCTCCTTCCTCCTCGTCTTGCCCTCCCCCCTCCTCGTTCTCCTCCTCCTCCTCCCTCGTCCTCCTCTGCCATCCTTCATCCTCCCTCCTCGTTGTCATCCCCCTCCTGTTGCTCTCCCTCGTCCCTTCTCTTGATCGGACCCTGGTTTAGGCTTCCAAAGGGATGGTGGTGACTGAGCTCATGTTTCTCTCCCCCTTGTTGATGTGCCCCCTCGCCGCACGTCTTGGTCGTGTTTGCTGGGGCGTGCTGTCAACGGCACATGTTTTGCCGGCTTGTTGTTGGCGCGTAGTTGCTAACAGGTGTTTCCCGAGTATCAGTTTTACATTTTGATGAGTAGTCGGATGTTGCGTTCGAAGCGGCTCTGAATGCAGCGGCGTGTTTGACAGCCGCCCCTCCCGGCACGAACTTGGGACGCTTTAAGAGATTGAGGATGGAGACCCTGGACGAATGACAAAAAAAAGCCTGGCGACGTACCCAACCCCTGCGCAAGGCGGGGCAGGAGTAGCTTGGGAGATTTTACGAGAAGGCGGCGACGTGACATGGACGCATGTACTTCTGCGAGCGGCATTCGGAAGGTTCGCAGGTCCCCAATCAAAGGAAAAAACGATTACTAACTAAATGAGCCCCTGAGTCACTAAGGAAGACGCACGGTCCAAAAGGAGACTGGGCAAGGGGCTTGAAACGTCGGCGTGGCAGCAACAACATGACATGGCCGCCCAGGGACGGCGAGGTCCCGCTCAGGTCCGCGCAGTGCCTCACTCCGCTGGACCCACCAGCAGCCCTCGAAAGTGGCGAGCCCACCAGCAGCCCTCGAAAATGGCGACAGTTTCGCAGATCGCAGCCCCCCAGGGACGGCGAGGTCTGGCTCAGGTCTGCGTGGTGCCTCACTCCGCTGGAACCACCAGCAGCCTTCGAAAGTGGCGACAGTTTCGCAGATCGCAGCCTCCCAGGGACGGCGAGGTATCGCTCAGGTCTGCGCGGTGCCTCACTCCGCCGGACCCACCAGCAGCCCTCGAAAGTGGCGACATGTTCGCAGATCGCAGCCTCCCCTGGGACGGCGAGGTCTCGCTCAGGTCTGCATGGTGCCTCACTCCGCTGGACCCACCAACGGCCTTCGAAAGTGGCGACAGTTTCGCAGATCGCAGCCCCCCAGGGACGGCGAGGTCTGGCTCAGGTCCGCGCAGTGCCTCACTCCGCTGGACCCACCAGCAGCCCTCGAAAGTGGCGAGCCCACCAGCAGCCCTCGAAAATGGCGACATGTTCGCAGATCGCAGCCCCCCAGGGACGGCGAGGTCTGGCTCAGGTCTGCGTGGTGCCTTATTCGGCTGGACCCACCAGCAGCCCTCGAACGTGGCGACCGTTTCGCAGATCGCAGCCCCCAACGGACGGCGAGGTCTCGTTCAGGTCTGCGCGGTGCCTCACTCCGCTGGACCCACTAGCAGTCTTTGAAAGTGGCGACAGTTTCGCAGATCGCAGCCCTCCCCAGGGACGGCGAGGTCTCGCTCAGGTCTGCGCGGTGTTGTACTCCGCTGGACCCACCAGCAGCCCTCGAAAGTGGCGACAGTTTCGCAGATCGCAGGCCCCCCCAGGGACGGCGAGATCTTCGCGGGAGGTAGGAGGCGGGAGGCAGGAGGCGGGAGGCAGGAGGCAGGAGGCGGGAGGAGGAGGACGCGGCCGTAGTGTTCTATTCGAAACGAATACCCAACCAAGGAGGGTTGGGAATAAGGGAGGGCGGTGACTGGAAGCTGGGCCCCCCCCTGTACCGGTGAGGGCGACACGGCGGCGTTATATCGGGATGTTGGTCGGTTGGCTGACCGGCACGCTGGTCATTCGGACAGCCCGCAGGAATAAACGAACAGGTGTTCTTACTTACCCCAGATACGAGCCCGGATGAACAAGTTGCACGACGCTATCATAACAGAATGCAGGTGACCGTGAATGTTCTTACCCTCTCATCCTTTTTCGTCTTCCTCATCCTCGATTGCTGATGAGGAGCAGGAAAATACATGTTTCGACACATGTTTTTATAACTCGATCCCACCCCCCACCCAAAACCACACCCCCCCTGGATCCCTGGCCTCGAGGATCCCGTGAACACCCTTGCAGAGGGACCCTGGGACCCCCGGGTTTCCCGGACGTCCCTGCTGGGACTGACCAGAGGGCCCAAAAGCGGTCAGGAGGGCCTTGTGGCGGCCCTGGACACCCACCAGACGCCCGTCGGGGGCGCCCAAACGGGGTGGTGGCCACACCGTGTGGTGAGTCGGTGGGGATTCGGGGTTACCGCAGTTTTTTGGCACTCGGGTCGTTCTCCGAGGACGTCTCGGGCGACTGGGGCATTCGAAGTCCCAAAACCGTGCGTTGACGGACCGTGTGGTGAGGTCTTGGGAGATTTCGAGGTCACCGCACGGTCTGTCACCGGACCGTTTCGGGACTCCAAAGCCCGACAGCCCGGAACGACCCAGAAGGGCATGCAGACAGCCCATGAGAGCCCCACGACGGCCTGACAAGGCCCGAAGAGAGCCCCATGAGGGCACAAGATTTCCCCAACCGAAACACTCCAAATCGTGGCCCGTGGCCCAGCCGTTGATGAAGACAGTGGTTCACAGCAAGGTGGCCCGAGGAAGAGTTCAGAGGTGCCCAAGAGGCCTCCAGAAGCCTCCACGAAGCCGCTTAAAGGTTCATTGAGACCCCCAAGAAATTTCCCAAAGGAGGAGCCTCCCCAAAAGGAAATTGAGGAGCACGGGGAAGGGTTCGCAGGGTAAGGCGAGAACGACGAAGAGGAATAGGAAATTTGAAGGAAGAAAGAAGAAACCACGATTCCATAGGGTTACGCCGCATCCGCCGACCCCTTGATCGTCTTGGGGATGTCGTGTTGCTGTCCTGGGGCGTACTTGAATTGTCTTGTTTCTTTGGGTGGGCGGGCTCGAGGCTCGTCGGGGCCATCCCCGAGCGAGTCCAGGGGCATGTGGGGCCGTTCACGGGACGAATCTTACACGTCTGGATGCCCCGATTGGGGTTGGCGGATGCGGGTTGCATCACATGTGTCCAGACACGCGACAAGGCAGTGATCCGTGGCGGTGGTGATGGTGATCCGTGGTGGTTGTGATGGTGATGGCGGTGGTCATGGTGCGGGTGATGGCGATGATGATGCTGGTGGTGATGGTGTTGATGATGAGACGCGGAGATGGTGACATGGTACCAAACAGGAGAGAGCGGAGGAGGAGGAGGAAGAGGGGGAGGATGGGGGAGAGGCGGAGGAGGGTCCTCGGAGGAGGAGGAAAAGGAGGAGTGACGATTTGGGGAAATTCCTGTCAACACCCGCGCCCATAGACGGCATGCGGCGGTCCAAAAACTGGACGAGTCGTTGTCGAATGGGATGTGCGGTATACAGGTAGGCGGCCACACGAATGGAGAAGAAAATCTCGTGCGAGGCTTGACGGGGTCGTCTTGCAGGTAGTTTTGGGGCCTCTTGGGGACTTCCTCGTGGTTTCTTGGAGGCCTCTCGGAGGTTTTCTGGGAGGTCCCGTAGGCCCTTTTGGGTTGTTCTTGGAGCAAGGCTGGGAGCGTTTTGGAGCCGAACGCTCGAAAAGGTGCCCTGTGGACTCCGCGTTGGAGCCGTCTGGGGGCCTTCTTGGGCTGTCTTGGGGGCTTCGTGGGCTGCTGTTGGACCCTCAGCGACCCTGCTTTGGAGCCCCTTTGGCCGTCCGGGAGCGATGTTGAAGGGTTTTTTGCCTGTTGTGGACGTTGCGATTGCCGAGTAGGCGAGCATGCGGAGTAACGCGTGGTTTTCGAAATCAACGGCACCGAAACCGGTACTTACTAACGGGTACTTTGAATTGTTGACGAAAGTTGCCACTTTAAGGCCTTTTTCTTGCATTGCAGCTTTGCCCACATCTGGAAGGGTTGGGTTCGCTGGGTCACTGGCCAAAGTAGCCGTTAGTGGAGTCCCCGTTTGAAGGGCCCTGACGAAGGAAATGGGCCGATTTCTGTTTCGTGCGACCCTCTCGGAACGCATCTTAGGGGCCTTTTGGGGGCGTATTGGCAGCTTCGGAGACCGTCTGGAGGCCATCGTGGGCGTCTGGGTGCGCTATGTCGGCGAATTGTGGTCTCGGGGACCGTCCGGGGAGCGTTTTGATACATTTTTGGCGAGTATTGGTACCTTGATGAGTTTTGGAGCCTTGTGACGCGTTCGGTCTGGGGCCCGGCCGGCCCCCGGGGGGGGGTCGAAATGCCGGTTCGGGGCCCCTGGGGGGGGATTATGGGGGGGGAAAGAATTTCACGCGCTTAGAGACCCACCAGGGGTCGGCGGACGATACCGACGACGACGAAAACGGCAACACACAGTTACCTCTGTTCTACGTGTCTACTTTTTTTTTTTTTTTTCTCTCTCTCTCTCTCTCTCTCTCTCACTCCGCCCGCATACCGAAATTGAACGATCGAGGTGCGTAGCGCAAAGCGCCAACTCAATCGTGCATACGTGTATTTATGTGCATGTATGTATGTATGTATGTATGTATGTATGTATGTATGTATGTATTTGTGTGTGTCTACGTGGTTGAAGGGACGAGGAAGGGAGGAGGTACAGTTAGATAGGAGGAGGGGGTACATCGATGTTTTTCATCCACCCGCAGCGGCTTCGAAGAATGAGCCCCGCCCCCTCCCGCCAGAACCCGGCTGTTTCGCGTGAGGGCGTGTGCCAGATCAGAGAGGTACCAATCAGTTGCACGACGGGCGCGATCTTCAGACGAGCGATTGCAGCAACAGATCACCACATCGCCGAGAGGCCCGCCCAAAATGCCAACGCGGCCCTCGACAGGAGAACGTTCGAGGTCCTGCAGGGACAGTCGGCCCAGCGATTTCTCACTGGAGGATGGAGGTTATGGACAGCGACTGCGCGGGACCCGTCCGTGTTGAAAGACGCGGGATTTCCCATGGTGAGAGGCGCTTCAGATCTGGAACGAACAGTTGTGTACGTCGTCATCCGCGCATCGATTTCGATATCGACAGGGCGGTCGTGTGAACGAGTGAGTGGCCGCTCTCGTTCTCGCGCCCAGCGAGGGTGGAGGCAGAAGGGAGAGGGGAGGGAGGAGGGGAAGCCGCGCGGAGGGCTCCAAGGAAACGCCCCGCCGCCTCCCGAGGAGGCCCGCCCCCGTCCACCCCCCCCCCTCGGCGCGCCGCCGCGCCCCGTGCAGAGGGGCAGGGGCAGGGGTGAAGCCGAGTGAACGGCCGACCACTGGGGTCGCTGCGCACCTGGCCACCGAGCACAAGGAGCCAGCGTCGGGCGAAGCTGGGACGAGGATACGTCCGTTCCAGAGCGTCCCGGAACGCTATGAGAGCATTTTGTAACGCTCTGAGAAGGCCGCGGCGCCCGAGACATCCTCCAGATCCGCCTGATCTCAGAGATTCTCGGTTTGTCCTCGCCCGAACTTCATCGTCGGCTTGGTTTCGTCGTACAGCGGCCGTTCTCACTCTCACTCACTCCCTCCCCCGACCCCTGGACGCCACGCAGCTGCTCCGCGACTTCTACGGCAAGCAGGACGCGGCCGCCGCCATGATCCAGCAGGTGCGCGCCGCTCCGCTGGCCCGCCCCCCGGGGAGGTCCCTGCCTGGAGTACCGCCCCGTTCCCCTCTCTTCCTTCCTCCTCCTCCTCCTCCTCCTCCTCCTCCTCCTCCTCCTCCTCCTCCTCCTCCTCCTCCTCCGCCTCCTCCTCCTCTCCTCCCTCCTCCGCCTCCTCCTCCTCGTCCCTCCTCCTCCTCCTCCCCTCCTCCTCCTCCTCCTCCTCGTCCCTCCTCCTCCTCCTCGTCCCTCCTCCTCGTTCCTCGTCCCTCGTCCCTCGTCCCTCCTCCTCCTCCTCCTCCTCCTCCTCCTCCTCCTCCTCCTCCTCCTCCTCCTCCTCCTCCTCCTCGTCCCTCCTCCTCGTCCCTCCTCCTCCCTCCTCCTCCTCCTTCCTCCTTCCCCCCTCCTCCTCTCCTCCTCCTCCTCCTCCTCCTCCTCTCCTTCCCCCTCCTCCTCCTCCTCCTCCTCCTCCTCCTCCTCCTCCTCCTCCTCCTCCTCCTCCTCCTCCTCCTCCTCCTCCAGCCCCAGCTTGTGCAGCACACACTGATACTGTACCTGGGGTTCCATACACATGCACGCAGTGCGGGGGGTCACAGAGAGCCCTTCTTGAGGACGGCCCCATGGCGCCGATGCGTTCAATCCTCCGTGTTCTTGGCTTCAATCCCATGTATGCAACAGGAGTCAGGCTAAATGAGTTGCTATTGAATACGAAGGGCTCGGACGTGTTATTACTAGCAGGTACGCAGGAGACATGCAGGACGGGCGGCGGGGTGCTGCGCAGACGTTGTGAAGGGCGGGTCATCATCGAGTCGGTGTTCCAGCATGGTCCCTTCACAAATCGCAGTACAGGGTGCGCAGTCTGTCTCGGTCGTCAGTATCGTGAGCGTGACATCGTGCAAACATGGGCAGCACCTCCTCGGGCAGCAGGTAGGGCAGTTGCAGCACGCGTGAAGCACGGCGCACAAGATGTAGTATATGGGTCGCTCTACTTCCCACCTCAACCCTCTCGGCGTGATGAAGTTGGTGGATATTTTGCTACGGTCCAGTTGCTCGTTCAATGGTGGAAGGATCTTCTACAGTCGCTCCCAGCTCGTACACTACCTGTGTTTTACGCTGACCTGAATGATGGAGTAGGCTTATCGAAGGTTAGCGGTACTTGGGAATCGGTTCCGTCGACGGCGGTCGGTGACACACGTACTCGTGAACATAGGCGACGGGGAGCAGGGGAGGAAGTTAGGAAGATGATGGAGCAGCAGCACATGTGTATCCCCTCCACCTTTGGCCCCTTGGAATACACGTTTTTTTCAAGCGGCAACCCGTCCAAGCCCTCCTCGATCGATTTCCTCTTCATTCCGCAGGGCTACCTGGATCGTGTCGCTAGTTGTCATACGTTGCGGGGGCTCGGGGCCAAAGTGCAGGCAGTTAGAGGGCTACCACCACGTGATCACGTACCTGTTTATTTAGAGATATTATACACAAAAGGCCCGCACGACCTTCCACCACAACCTCCTCCTAAGATGTGTACTTCGGCACTTATGCAGGCACTACGTACAGGCAGGGGTAAGGTTCCTTTCCTCAGAGACGTTGCCAATGAGCTTGAGACGCACGAGCAGGAGCTTCTTAACCTCACACGCACGGGAGCCCCCGGCCAGAGCTTCGAGGCCCTGGAACGTCGCTTGCATAAGATAGGACTCCAACACTTTCGGCAGGCCCCTCTTGCACCTAGTTCTCAGGACAGTGCCCGACGTCGAGAACTCTTGGTGGAACGCTCTCGGTTGAAGGAGAAGAGGGGGGAGGTGTGCACGGAGGGGGAGTTGGAGGAGGTGGAGCAGGAACTTCGACGTCTCTCAGCTCGTCTTAAGGACGAGAGGCGGCGAGCAGCTAGAGCGGAAAAGGCCCTGCACGTGGAACTCATTGAGGAGGCCTGGCGCCCCCGTCGGCTTGCTGACGCTATGCCATTATCCCGTCGTGCCGCTCGTTGTCGTTTCGGAGCTAAACAGCGGGATGGGCGTCGTCTTGGTCCTGTCCCTCTTGATCGGTCTGTTTGGGAATCGTTTTTTGTCACTGCCGGGTGGAGAAGGAGGCATGAAGGCTAGCACAATATCATGGGAGGAGTGGAGAGGAGAGCATGATGAGCAGCCCGTACCCCCTACTACTGCTGGCGAGGAAAGTATCTTGGAGGAGTTAGGCGCATTAGACTTCAAAGCAGTTCGAATTTATTGTCGCAAGGCTAGTAAGAGAAAAGCTGTGCCGCCTGGAACCTGCCCATTGGAAGTCTGGGACATGTTATTATCTCCTGAAGTTGGCTTATCTAAGAGAGGCTACGGGCTAGGTTTCCATGAACCCCTCCCAGATCTTAAAGTTTGTCACCATATAATACATCAAGCACTAGTTCAAATCCGACGTTGTGATCTCGCACCATTGTACTGGCATCGAAGCAAAGGTATTAGTCTCTACAAGAATGATGTGTCGGGCCCGCGTGGCCGCAGGTTGATCCACACCCTCCCGCCCATTGGCAAGGCCTGGTACGCCAAGAGGTTACCTGTTACACTGCCACCTCAAGACCACGGTTTCGCTCGACACCGTAGACGTGAGGATGCAGTTATGAGTGTTATGGCTATGGGCTTTCGGTTACGGCAGGCAGGTTGGAGTTACGCTACTGCGATGAAAGATCTCTCCAACGCGTTTGGCAGCACCAATTGGACGGCGCTCGACGCCGTCGTCAATGAACATTCAGCCCCCGAGGATCGAGTTCTTTGTCGTCAGAGGTATAGGCTCTCGGTCGTAGAAGTTGACACTACGACGGGCCCGCTACTGATGAAGACAGGATGTGGAGGAGTTATGGGGGACCCCTTCAATGTTCAGTGTTTTGCTGGTGCCTTTGTTAAGCCTGTTCAGGACTGGGCCCACAGCGTCTTCGAGGCTATCCCGACCACTCAGTTACTCACTACCCTTTGGTGTGGAGTTAAGTTGGACATGTCTTACCAGAAGTACGCCGACGACTTGCTTAGAATCATTCCATTATGCGTGGGGGAGGGGATGGAGGATGTTTTCGACACGTTAAACAAGGTTGACGACTTGCTAGATGCCTCTTTAGCTACTACGGGATATGTTCAGAACAAACAAAAGCAGGTGACACAATTCTATATCGCTGGTTCTGGTTCGGCTTTATGTAAGAAGTATATACGTTCCCAGGGGATTGAGGGAGGTCGCATCGCGGGTACGGTCTCGGATGTTGCACGTTATCTAGGTCCGATGATTACGCCGCTGCAGTTGGCATCTCCCGAGCTTGAACGTCGAATGAATGCAGCGTCCGCGGGTTTCTACAGCATGGGCGCCTTCTGGTCCATGGAGAGCCCGAAGGCATGGAAGCGAGTGATCTTCATAGGACTAGTTCAGGGTTCACTACTGTCGGGATTGGAACCCTTCATACTCTCCGACAAGCAGCACACACTCTTGGACAAGCACTTGGCAAGATTAGGCCGCACAGCTATGATGGGCGCAGCATGCACACACGCACTCGAGGACGACGATCATGCTCGATCTTTAGCAACTCGTGAAGTACTTGATTATTGGGGAATTACAGATTGTTTTACTGAGTTATTAGCACGTCGTCTGCACTGGCACCAGAGTTGGGCTCGTCACCAGGACTCACACATCCAGGTACTCGTGGCTCTCTTCGGCGGGGATATGGGGTTCGCGAGCTCTGATAAGTGGCCCTGCGGGGCCGTCGGACTCACGGAATACGCTTCTCCCTGGGCTCAACGTGTGGGAACTGACATAAGAGAAGCAATCAAGTCTTGTCCTGATGCCGAGGAGCTCCCTTCGAGGATAGCGGACTGCCCGTGGCTCTTGCTGGAGGATGAGGAGGACATGAAGGATTTCGCGTCTCTCGATTTTCGAAGAGTTCGTAGTCATCAGGTTAGTTATGAAGTACCTCCTCCAGAATTCTTTGCAGGGGACGCTAGCCTGCAATGCATTACCCCGGGGGGGCTGAGTAGGCAGATGGAAGAGGAGGGGACCGTGGAGACTCTTGAGTTGCCCTACACTTGCACTGCCTCGACGACGGCAGAGGATGGGTCCATTGCACCGTGTCCGTGCCGATTCGCTACGCGAAAGGGGCTGATGTCACACCTCAGGCATCGCCACCACGTTCGGAACTTGAGCCACGTTCTTGTCACGAATAATCAGTGCCCTGTGTGCTCGAAGGTCTTCCGTAACCAGATTATGGCAGCCCGACACCTTCAGTCCGCTCTGCAGAGAGGCTATTGTGGTGGGTATGGTCCTCGTTCCCTGGTGCCAGTGACTGAACCTCAGAGCTACAGTTGTGGGATGTGCCCGTTTGTTGGACAGAGTGCTGATGATCTCCGTAGCCATGTATTGGTTCATCTTCCTTGGCCAGTGTATCTTACACGTTCTGACGCACTTCACCTTCCTACGCCTCGAAGACATGGCGTCGGCAGCGGCAGCGGCTTCCGACGACGTGGGCATGCCGAACTTCATGAAGCGCTCCCTCGTGGACCCCGCATCGGCCTCGAAGGTCGCGAAGCAGACGGCCGCCCCAGGGGCGCCGCCACCACCAGGAGGAGGAGGAGGAGGTCAGCCCCCCGCCGGTGGAGATCCCCCGCAGCAGGGGGCCAGGATCGACAGGCAGACCATGAACAGACTCATTCGGCTCAGCCTCACCAACGCCAGACAGATCGCGGCAATCGAGGGATCGTTGTTCGAGAGCTTCCAGACCCCCGAGCAGGAGGAGCAGGACCTGGGCACGGTGGCGGTGAAAGCCAACGGACAGTACGACCAGATGTCCAAGCAGATGAAGGCCGAGCAGCAGGCGGGCGAGAAGGTCGACTGGAAAGCTCGAGGCGCCCCACACGTTTGCTTGTTCGTGGCTGCGCTGCGCTTCGTCATCGACGACACCTCCAAGGACGGCAACCATCCCAACGAGAAGTACTACGCCACTCTGAGGGGCTTCTGGGCGGACGTGGTGCTCCAGTCGACGGCGA